TTTTAAGAGCTCTATTTTACTCTTCACCTTTGTTTCTGCAGCTAACCTACTGGCCAGAAGAAACTGTAGCTATTGCGTATCAGCACCTTCAACTTCCTGTCCCACATATAAAAAGAGACCCACCCATCTTAGCTCTCATCTTAACCTTTTTCCCTGCATCTCTTCAGGGTTCTAACTCCACTACCTCTCTTACATCTCCCACCTCCCACTTATAATGGGGTCTTCCTCCTCTGCAAAACCTATTCTTCCCCATTGAAAAGAACGAAAACAAATTCCTAAAGCAACTGCTCTTTACTAGTCTCCCTTCTAGCTACTACACAATCTGATTCCTTTCAAATAATGAATCTTCTCCTAGAGTCACTTCCCACTTCCATTTTCAAACTCAAGTAACGTGCTTTTGTTCCACTCTCCATGGAAACTGCTCTGACTGTAAAGATCACCAGTCTCTCCCCTTACTTGATCTCTGAAGCATTTTGATGTGCTCCGGAAACTCCCTTAAGTACCTGGGACTCCAGTCTGTTCCTTCTCAGTCTCCTTTAACGGCCCCTCGGGTTTCCATCCCCCTTTCAACTTTATCAGAGATTTGTCCTTGGTTGTCTTTCCCCCCTGTTTCTTTCCTAGGTGGTCTCATTCACATCCAAAGCTTGTATTATAATGCATCCACTAACGACTACTGCACTTTCATCTCCAGCTTATACCCACATAGCCAACTGCTACTCTTCACCTTTTCCTGAACCCACAAGCAGTCTCAACTCATGTCATATAAATATGAATCCTCTTTCATTTCCAAACTGCTGTTCAACCTTATTTCCTGTTTTGGCAAAAAAAAACAAAAACAAAAAAAAAAAAAACAAACCCCAAAACATAAAACATTTCCTGCTAAGCCATTCAATTCTGGATATAGTTGTCTCTACCCTTTTCCTTATATTCCTCATCCTATCAGTCACCCAGCCTTGCCATTTGACATGAAACTCTTATATATAACCTCTTCCCACAGCCATAGTCCTGACCCTCATTACTTCACATGACATCCTTGCTTATAATCCAGTGGCTCTCAAAATGTCGTCCCCCTCACCAATAGCATTAGCATCACCTGGGAACTTTTGAGAAATGCAAATTCTGTGGCCTCCTCTGACTTACCAAATCAGAAACTCTACGGTGGGGTCCAGTAATCTGTGTTTTAACATATTCTGGAGAGTACGTTAAATTTTGAAGTTAAAGTCTAAGAATCACTGTTCTACTTTACTCTTCACTATATATACTCCACACACTTAACAGCCATCTTGCAAAATCCCCACATCTGGTTGTTATGCTTTGCTTAGAAGCCTTTAGTGATATTTTTGTTAGAAGGTGAAATCTAAATTTCTTAGTACAGCATAAGAAACACCAGGATCTAGTTCCTGTCTACCAGTTTTCAGAAGGTAAAGCACAATCAATCATTTTCGTAAGAATGCACTGTCTTATAGTGTGATCAAGGGGATGAACTGTGGAATCCTACTGCCTGAGCTTTCGTCTCCACCCCTGCACTTTACCACTAGCTGTGACCTTGGATGAGTCACTAACCTCACTAAGCCTCAGTTCCATCATCTGTAAAATGAATGTAATGACTTCCACATCACAAACTTGTTGTGAAGTTAGCACAATACCTGGCACTTAGTCTGGACTCAGTGATTATTGGCTATTACTCCTATTTTGATTATTTCAAAAGGAATAGAGCCAACCTCGAGTGTAGTAAGAAGAGGACTGGAATGACTGCCCAGACTAAGGGATGTGGTCCCCATAAAGGAGGCCTGCTTCTCTGGGCAGTTTGAGTTAGTCTGGAGGTGAATAAAGATACCCTGATTCTCATGAAAGAGGTTCTGAGATCTCTGGGGCCATTTTGATTAGACGGGTGGATCGATAATCAGATTCCAGGATGTTATAGGAAAGGTAGCAAACTCCTACAGTGAGAGCCAGGAAAGCAAATTTTAAAGAAACAGGAAAATTCAAACAGAGCAAAGCAGCAAAAAATAGGGTGAATAATTTATTTGTTTCTCTGATAACAGCTAACAGAGTTGCTGAGGGGTTAAATATTAGAGTCCTAGTGGACTATATTTTCAGAAATGTTGTTGGTTACTTAAGAGCAAAGGTATTAAGTAATGATGGGAATCCAATTCTCACTACCACAAATTAGTTATCATCTTGGGCAAATCACTTCTCTCCTGCCTCAATTTAATAATCTGTAATATCAGCTATATTATGAAGATCACTACATATTTATATTTATTTATTGCTTAGTAAAGGGTCTAGCATGTGGGAAGAGTTCAATACATGGCAACTATTATTAGTGGAAGTATATTATCTTTAATACAAATTAACAGAAAAAGGCACCTCTGGAGATTCCTGCTTGACCAAAGCAGTTGTTTATTATCACCTAATATTTCAACTATAATACTTGGTTATAATTTATAAAACTGAGAAATATTATAAAGACATATCTCCAAACAGTGTTTATATCACTTAGGGCTTATCAATTTTCACTTCAAATATGTGTGAGATTAATTTTATTTGAATGTTTACTCAGTGTCTGTTAGGTGCTAGCAGGACACTAGGCTGGGTGGGGGATGGTGTGAGTGTGGTGGTAACTACCAAACTGAATAAGGCATGGTTCCTGTTCTCAAAAGAGAATACAAGCCTGAGAAGAGAAAGGTACAATCCAAATAAAACATGATTAAATGCTGTATTCGAGCAAAAACAACAACAACAACAAAAAAACAACCCAAACTGTATAGAGATTAAAAGTCTTTACCAAGTTGACTATTTTCTCAAAACTTCCAGACTTCTCAGTTTCTCCCCTATCTTCCATCTATTTTTACATACTCCATCTTTAGTAGTAGCAGGGAGTCAATATCTATAAAAACCAGTAACAGCCACCCACTGCAGCAGGAGGTAGCAGCCATTGTTTTTTCTCGGTTATATTCTCAGCGCATAACAGAAAGTGGAGCATCTTCCTCCTTTTGTCCTACACAGGGTTTCATTCTTGTGCTTAGTTCAGATGTCACCTACTCAGTCCTTCTCTGAGCACTCAGCCTAAAGTTTCTTCCCTCTCCCACCATCATTATTCTCTAGCACATCCCACCATTACTTCTGAAGCCCTCCCATTGTGGTGAATGCTGTGATGTGCCACCTCGATCCCCTTTAAGAATGAAAGGCTTATTTCCCCAGCTCTCCGGATTGCTGAGACAGATCTCAGTTGTCAGTCCCTTTACAGGACACACTTGGCTGAAGAGAAGGGAAGTCAGGCCTTCTTTCCAGGGCAACAGGCATCCAATGACCACCCAGGTATAGACTTGGCTCTTCCCTCCAACTTGGGACACCTCTGAAGGGCCAAACCATCACCTAGAGTTCCCTTGGGACTGAACTGCAGCTTAACTTTTTCTATCCACCCATTCCTGCTTCCTTTCTTCCTTGGTAAGATCCAGAAAAATCCTTCCTAATAAATGTCCTGCCCACAAATCTCCTTCCCTGGGAACCCACCTAGCATAATCTGGAAACACTTTGTTCACTGTTAGCGTACTTGTTTATTGTTCCCTCTCCTATCACTAGAATATAAGCTATATGTGGTCAGGGACTATGTCTGTCTTGGTCACTGACGAATCTGCTAACTCAGTGTGTGTGTGTGTGTGTACATACACACAATTATATATATACATATACAACATATGTGGATATATAAATATATGGAGGAAGTTAATGAAGGACTAAACTGCCAGAATTGAGAACCTCTGAGACAGTTACAGTATTTGGGCACGGTCCTATTGGAGAAGATAAACATGACGCAGGACGTCTTCATCTCAAAAGGATTCCGTCCCCCTAATGTCAAAAGTCCTGTGAGTCCTGCTTCTGCTTTCACGCAGTTGGCACTAACCCTGCTGTCCAACAGTTCTGACTTCCAGTTCCACGTCAGAGGGTGGCCGTCACCTCCCACATAGACACAGGCATAGTATGCTCTCTCCCTGAGAAGAAGTGACCAACAAGTCACACAGATTTCAGCTAGAAGGTGGCAGCGCAGGTGCAATCGGTGCTTTCACTGGAACACCTTTTCCATCTACTCCACGGCGTGGCCGCGCAGATGCGAGGGGAAGAGGGTCTACACCTGGAATTCTTAGCCGCCCTACCGCCATTCACATTCCCTCCAGCTGCAAGTATTTACTGCCCATGGCTATTTTAAGGGTAGGTCTTTAATTTTATAAGGAGCCGGCCTCCTTGTCCCCGCCCCCAAATATCCTTCAGTGAAGACACGAGTGACCTTTCTGAGAGGGGGCAAGGGGCACCAACAAGCCCACCTCCCCTCTCTTCGGCCAGGTAGAAAGCAGGTTTTTCCACCTGAGGTTCCAGAGCTCTCACCTGCCCACCAGCCGCTGAGCCTCTCTAGGCCACCGCCACCAGCTGGCCCCAGAGGCCGAGCCGCACGGAGCCGCCGCAGCCTGTCCCGGCAACCTGCGCTCGGGGCTTGGAGACGGAGCATGCGTAGTTCTGTGGTTGGCGCGTGCGCTGCTCAAAATCCGCTTCTCCGGGTTTTAGCGAGGGTCTCAGCCCTGAAAGCTTTTGGCCCAGACCGAAAAGGGCCAGGGGGCGGAGCTTATTTAGCATCAGTCTCAGCAAATGTGTTGAAACCAAAGAATTTAGCATCAAATGGACTTGTTAGGGCACAGTATCTGCCTCATGGCCCGCGTTTAGGAGACATTTATTGAATGAATCACACAGCAGTCAATAGTTCGCGGTAGTCTTCCGTCCTCCCAGACTTGACCAATCACAAGGCGCGGTTCGTTTTCAGCGCCGGTTCCTCGCCGCCTTTTTACGTGTGCCTTCAAAACCAGGAGAAAAGGATTGGACTACCACCACTTCCCCGCATCGCACTGGAAAGTGGACATGCGCAGTGCGAGCGGGCCACATCACAAAGCTTTTGCCCTCAGCTCTTTGTAGGGGGAGGTCTACGGGGAGATTAGGAGTCCGCCAACACTTGCTGTCCTCAAAGTGGATAATTTTGGCGCTCTCTCCCCATCCTGTTTCTTAGTTGGAGGACAAAACTTTCATTCTCTTGTAGCATTCAAAATAATTATGGAGGGAATTATGTTAATCGCTATTTTAGAGTTTATCTGGTATTGTGAAAGCCACCTTTACTTTCCAACCGTTTTTATAATGTAATTCTTGTGTTAGTAACTCCGGTATCAAGAAGCTCTGTACCACAAAAAAGTTGGGTTTTCTTTTTCTCTCGATTACCTCTGCTGTCTAGCACTATGGGTAATGGAGATTCGTTACCTGCCAATCATATTCACTGCGTTCCTAGTCTGAATAGCCAGCCTTGGTCGCCATTTTTGTTTTGGGCTGTCCTTGAGAAATGAACGGTGGCCATTTTTCTTTCGGGCAGATCCTTCTCGCTATTTAGGCCCCTCACCCAGTGTGTCGCAGCCATCTTAACTCCTGGTTATGGCTTCAAGGCGACAGTGAGGCTGCCCAAATCATCTTGTGTTTGGGCAGCGGCAGCTTCCCCTCCCCACCCCCACCCCACAACGCGCGGGGAGACCCTGGGAAAGGGGAAGTAAGGCCGAAGGTTGAATCCCCAAAGCACCTGAAGGTGGGCTTCAGAGCCTGCTGTCTGTGTAGTCTAAGTTTGCTCAGCCAAGTACTTCTCCACCAGTGACCCTGGACAGTAACAAAACTAATAAAAGCCCGAACCCAAACCCTGCCACCATCATAGGTAAGAACATGGAACTCCTGACAACCTGAGATGGTCCTTCACTTGCACTGAACTATTTGCTCATCTCCTCTCCCCCTCTGTTTTTTTTTCTTTCCTTTGATTTTTGAGCCTTTTCTGAATTCTTTTTCCTGTGCTTCCACCTTTTTCTCGTTTTTTTCAAAGTGCTAAAGAGTTGTTAACAGAGGGTGCAAGAAACCTGGGCTTGAAAGTGAAAGTATTACTCTGGGTAATTTTTTGGTTTTTTCTTTAGGACAAAATCAGTGAATGGGCCAGGTATTTGTATCAAACTATGGCTGCCGACCACGATTTATACAAATACAGTCTCAGACATTTTTAGGTTGTGACATAAATACGGATTGTGTTTGTATATACTGCCCGTTCATTTGTTCGTTGGATTTACTGAGTACCTAATGTGTGCTAGACCATCAAGATTCTGCGGTAAACCAAACAAACAACCCCTCTCTCTCATGGAATTTACATTCCAACTGACCTCGACAGCTACTAGGTTGCAGCAAGTCACAATATTCTATGGTTCTTGAACCACAAGACTGACAACAAGTATCCCCTGGCTTCTTTCTCAGTATCCTCACGTTTGTTTGTTTTTTCCATACTAGGGGTAAATTGTATTGACACTTGTTTCTTGGGACCTAGATACCCCCATATTTGAAGACCAGTTGACTAATTTGATGATCAATATTCAAGGTTTAGGGTTTTGCTCAAAGTGTAGTATACTGACTCTCATCACCTGGGAGCCTCTCAGAAACGTTAGTTTCAGACTCCATCCCAAGACCCACTGACTCAGAATCTTTTCTAGGGAGTGCACCTTAAAGTTCAAGGAGCATTAATTCGGGGCATCAACTATAGACTGTCTCTTGTAAACCTATGGTTCTTAAACAGTTCACAATGTATTGTTAGTTTATTCCGTGTTTTACATGCATCGGATATGTGACATATTTTCCTTTGCTTTTAGTTATCAGTTTGATGTCCGAATGCCAATTTAGCATTCTAAAAAGCTGAGAATTTGTCATTCTGGTATATTATGTAACTGTTGCCATGGCAACACCTGTGTGCACATTTTTCCTCTGTGCATATTTTTACTTTTAATTTATTAGAAGTTGAATTCAAAAGCCTGCATGTGTTCAGTAGTTCAGTATTGATTTGGAAAACCCTGGGCCATGCTTGACCAGTTTTTGTGGCATCTTGCTCTCTTCTGTCTTTTCAATGAGAAATCTAAATCTCATTTGTCTCAGGAATTCTCAATCCTAGCTGCTCCTGAAAATCACTTGGAAGATGGGGTGGGGACAGCATTAAAAAAAAAAAAAAAAGACTGTAGGCCACTATCTGCAGAATATTAGACCCTGTGGATGGAATTTAGGAACCAATAAGGTGTTTGAGAAAACAGCAAATTACTTTTATGTTTTTCACATGCTGTATTTAGATTTTTGTCTCCCAGATAGATTTACTTAAATTAATTAGGACTTTGAAGGCATTGGAGAGAATTGGACTGGAAATGTGGTGAACCAGCTTCCCAAGAACCAGTCAACTTATCATTTATTCTGTGTGCTTAGCAATTTGTCCAGTCTTTCTGGCTTGTCCTTTTTCCACCTGTTAATTGGGAAAAGAATGAAGGTTAAAAAAAAATATTTTTATTTATTTGTTTAATTTTTTTTTTTTTATCAGAGCGCATAAGGAAGGGAGAGGGTTAAAGAATCTTAAGCAGGCTCCAAGCTCAGAGCGCACCCTGACAAGATCAGGACCTGAGCCAAAATAAAAGAGTCAGTGCTCAACAGACTGAGCTACCCAGGTGCTCCAATGTGTTGTTTTTTATTTAGCCTCCTGGGAGTTTTCAAAATGTAGCAAATACTTCTGTGTGTGTATGGAAGTATTCTTTAAGTGCAATATGTATTGCTTTTGATTTTCACATATGGTGTCTTGTGTGTGCCAGTAGAGCATAGGGGGCAAGGAAATGAACTTAAAAGTGACCTTCAGAGTCACACCCCAGGGTTCAAATCCTAGCTCTTCCACCAGCTACTAGCTGTGTGACCTTGAGCAGATTACTTAACATTCTGCTTCAGGCTTCTCATCTGTAAACTAGGGTTGAAGTGAGAGTTAGATACGTTAGTATCAAAAAAGTGCTTAAAACAATGTCTGGCACGTGATCACAGCTATGTGGATATTAACCGTTGTTATTTATTAAATCTTAGGTTATTAAGGTTTTGTTCATGCATGGAAATCACTAAGGGAAAAAGTTCCATGACTTTTGGATATTCACCTGTTTGGAAGAGATGGTGGTGATCTAAACAGAATGTACTAGGAATATGAATTTTTTTTTTAATGGTCTTTTTCTTTTTCAACAGCCTTATTGAGAAATATAGGCATATCTTTAATGTGCTTTGCAGATACTGTGTTTTTTACAAATTGAAGGTTCAGTGCAACCCTGCACTGTGCAAGTCTATTGGTGCTATTTTTCTAACAGCATTTGTTTGCCTCATGTCTTTATGTCACATTTTGATAATTCTCACAATATTTCAAACGTTTTCATTATATTTGTTATGGTACTTTGTGATCAGTGATTTCAACTGCTGAAAGCTCAGGTGATCGTTAGCATTTTTTAGTAATAAAGCCTTATTTAATTTACATTGTTTTTAATGTACATTGTTTTTTTTTTTAGGTATAATGCTGTGACACACTTAATAGAATAGTATAGTTTAAATATCAGTCTTACATGCACTGGGGAACCAAAAATTTATATGACTTGTTTCATTGTGATAATCACTTTTTTGTGTTGGTGTGGGGCTGAACGAGGAATATCACCATGTTATATCTGTAATTGTCATACAGTAAACTGCACATATATAAAGTATATAGTTTGATACGCTTGACATGTATATACTGGTCAAACCATCACCATAGTCAAGGTAATGAATATATCCATCATTCCCCCGAATTTCCTTTTGCTGTTTTATAATCCTTCTGGTAACTTTCTTTCAGGCAACCACTCATCCGTTCTCTGTTACTATAGATAACTTTGCATTTTGTAGTTTATCTAAAAGGAATCGTATAGTACATGATCTTTTTTGGTGGGAGTTATGGGAGTGTCTGGTTACTTTTCATGATTTAGAGTCTTCTTTGTTGCAAGTATCAATAATTCATTTCTTTTTAATTGCTAGGTAGTATCTTGCTAGATGTACCGTAATTGGTTTACACGTTTAACAGTTGAAGGGCATTTAGGCTTTTATTTTCACAGTACTCCTTTTCACATTGCTTTGTTCCTCTCTAGCTTATTTGAATTGGAAAAAAAAAAAGTCTAATTATTTGGTGGCCATGCCTTCTGTGTATACTGAAACCAGGAGGTAACTGGTAAAATGTGTAAATGTGTATGTATTGGGAGGTTTTACCTGTGTGTTTGGTAGTTTATGGGTGAATGTTTTCTGAGTGAAAATTTGCTTTTTTAAAATACAAAATGCATGTATTGACTTTTTAGTTATTGTATTTCTTGATGTGTACATGCCTAAACATTTTAAGCTGTGTTAAATCTTTAAGACCTACTACTTGTATATTATCTTTTGGAGATTGAAAACGATAACGGATGCATACTAAGAACCTACTCATTAGGCAACAAAGTAGAAATGTAAATGGAGAATACCACTCATTTAGTGTTGGTGTAGGTACATTTCTAAAGTCTGCTTCTGGGGTGCCTCGGTGGCTCAGTCAGTTAAGCCTCCGACTCTTGATTTTGGCTCAGGTCATGATCTCACAAGCCCATGGTTTGTGGGCTCAGCACTAAGCATGGAGCCTGCTTGGGATTCTCTCTCTCCCCCTTTCTCTCTGTACCCCCTCTGCTTGTGCTCTGTCTCAAAATAAATAAATAAATATTTAAAAAAAAAGTCTTTGCTTCTGTTATAGACAAGCAGTGCCTCCTGATTAATATTGACATTTTGTGCTTGAATAAATCAGAGCTGGTAACTAAAATTGGATTTGACTTAGGTTAGTTATAGGATAATATATAGAATATTGCTGTTATGATGTCTCGGACATTTAATTTCATTTGTGTCACTATTTTTATTTCTCTAGTTAGAATTTTTTGTTTTGCAATTTAAAAAAATATTTTATATTTGCATATGGTAAAATTCATTCTTTTTGGTATACACTTTCATGAATTTTGACCAGTGCACTGAGTTTTATAACCACTGTGTCAGTCAGACTGCTGGACAGTACCGTCACCACCCCCCCCCCCCAAATTCCCTCCTGCTACTCCCTTGTAGTAACTCTCCCTCCAAATAGCAACTAAAGATCTGTACTCCATCTCTATAGTTTTCACGTCAAAAATATTAGATTTTAAGACAATTATGTTAATGATTTTGGAAGTTATTTTGTATTGTGAAGGTGCTGGAAAACAGTTGTAATCAGAGTGGGGCTTGGGCTATGAAGTGGATTGATCAGGACCTGTCTGTCTGTGCCCTGCAATGTTTATAATGATTATGGTTAACAGAGACTGAGCAAGGAATTGCCAAATACTACATATCAGATCTTATGGAATCTTCATAGGACCCCTGGAGATAGATACTCATTATTATCCCACTTCATAGATAAGAAAACGGGAGACAGAAGAATTGAGTAGCTTGTCTGAGATCACTTGAAGAGGCAGGATTTGACTGCATGTCTGTTTTACTAGAACCTGAAGACCATGTCTGCCTCCATGGACAGGTGCCTGTGTCTTTCTGACAAAGTATTAAATAAAAATTAGATCTTTCCTATTAATGAAGCATTCCATGCCGGGCCCAGTGAGGATTTTCTATGGGCATAGCAGGATATGAGGGGCCCAGATCATGGATCTGGATTAAGGATGTAGAGTGACTGAAAGGTAGGACTGTTCTGTGGAATTATTTTTGGTAGAGGATTTCAATATTTGACCTACATTTAAAGACAAAAAGAAAAAAAGCCCTTATGTTTTTGTCACTTGTATTATCCACTTTTCACTGTTGGAGCTTCCCTGGGTT